AGGCCATTGCACTAGGTGTGCCCCTTAATGTTTTGCTTTGCCCCAAAAGAAACCGGCGATATTTCATACAGACGACATTGAGAATTTTTTTGAACAGCTTGTGACTATTTAATTGTGTTTTTTCTTTCGACAGTTATAAGCTGTCACGTTTAGCTTTCTTGAGAAATAGCTGCGCGTCATTTTGCTTACATTTTTTTCTTTGGTTTCAATTTAAATATGGAGCACACAAAAGAACTTTATCGCGATAAGCTGCATACGTGTAATTTGTATGGCAACAAGGCCCTAAGAGGAACAATATGTCGAATTTGGTTTGCCAAATTCCGTTCGGGAGATTTTTCATTCAAGGATAAGCTACCCTCAGGTCGGCCAAGTGAAGTTGATGATGACGATATCAAGACAATTTAATCGAATGGGAACGTGATATAACTGAACGTGAGCTTGCAGAGAGGTTAAGTAGACCAAAAACAACCGTTCACAAGCATTTAAAACGTCTTGGAGTGGTAAAAAAAATTTGATATTTTAAAGAATTTCATTTAAGCCTTCAACGCGTGTGAAATGCATCTTAAACGCATATTTGTTGCGTCGGTTTTTAAAGCAAATCATAACTGGAGATGAATAATGGATCGTTTACAATAACATCAATAGAAAATGAACATGACACGAGCAAAACAAGCAAACGCTGATATTCGCCAAAAGAATATTATGCTGTTGGTTTGGTGGAATTGGAAGGAATTTGGAGCTGCTTCCAGGAACCAAACGATTAATTCGGATGTCTACTGTGAACAGCTGGACAAATTGAATATATCGTACGGGTATCGTTTTCCACCAGGACAATGTTAGACCGCATATTCACACATCTTTGGTCACTCGACAAAAACTGACAGAGCTTGGCTGGGAACTTTTGTTGCATCCACCGTATAGCTCTGCTCTAGCACCGTCAGACTACCATTTGTTTCGATCTTTGTAGAACTCATTAAATGGGAAAATTTTCGAAAGTGACGAGGCTATAAAAACGTACTTGGTTCAGTTTTTTTGCAAATAAAGACCAGAAGTTCTATGAGCGTGGAATAATGCTGTTGACGGAAAGATGGCGAAAAGGTAATCCAACAAAATGGAAATTACATAATGGGTCAAAGCTCATTCTGAACTCTAAAAATAAATCTTCACTTGTTTGAAAAAGTCACCGGTTTCTTTTGGGCCAACCCAAGACACACATATTTACCTGGCAACGAAATCTAGCGCGAATGTTAATATGTGCTGTATAAGTATGTATGTACGTGTACTTACGAAAATACATTTATGTGCAAATATTTGCCGCATTATTTAGCAAATATAAATATGTACTACGGTACTAATTACCAGTTAGTTTGGGAACACTTTCATCAATTTATGAGAGACTTCTTACACAGCTGTCAAATAAATTTGCATGCAATGTACATATGTATATGTACTCGTATATGTACAAAGAAGAAATAATTTAGGAACTACATGGGATTAAGTGGGTTCGCTATGAGTGCTAAAATTGGAGGATGGGAACAGAAGTTCACGCAAGTGAATAAAACGTAACAAAAACGATTCAGAAGGTTCAAGGAGCTTACGACTTCCGGTCTTAGACCGAGTCCCATATAGTTGTGCGTAGAGTTTTGGACCCACCACATGAAAAAATAAACTCCTCCGAAAAATCAATTTATGCCTCAGATGAGAGGCAACTCCCGGAAATGTTTTAAGGATAATGATTTTAGAGCATAAACCTGGCATGTCCGCTCCCCTAAATGGGGAGGTGTTTCTGCCCAGCTGAATAGTGTCCCAATAAGATTAAGGCTGGCATCATCGCCGCACAAGAATTACGATGGAATGGAAAAGGACGGAAGAAGGTGGGTTCTTGCAAAATATACTACAGCAGCCCTATAAGGGAGCACAAATTTTCTGTCAGACTGTATGCGCCTCACGCACCGATGAAAAAGAAGAACAATGTGAACAAAGATGTTTGGGTGTCTGCGGACTGAAAAACTCAAAACAAGATCGATTATGTTGTGATAGATGACAAATACGACTCCAATCACTACCTTGTCACTACAAAGAAATTCACAGCCGCCTCTATGCCAGGAAACACAAGGAAGGTTCGAAGTCAAAAAGCTGTAATGACAACTGCGGGGGAGAACTTCAAGCTCCCTACGTTCGGCTGCATGTGAAACTATCCGTTTTCGAAAAGTTCGGAACAAGAGTTTAGGACAACTGCATTGCAATGGATAGAAAATGGGCTGCCTACTTCGCAACCTTGCGATGGATTACAATACGTGCCGGATCGGATATATACCGGGAGCTGAAGAGGAGAACTAGACGCATTTGAAAACATAAAAATAATGAGGCTGATATGCTTAATGCTATAAAATTCTACAAAATCATACGGCGACTTACAGAAGGTTCCAAGACTGAAGAAAACTCTTGTAGTATTCAGAAAGGTTATCTAGCGGTTAATGCCCAGAGTATACTAGATTTATGGACGGAACACTTCTCCAGCCTGCTGAGGGGCAGTAGAAATGGAACACCGCGAGATAGCGAACTCGATTTCCCAATCATTAACAAAGGAACCGATGTGTCATTATCCGATTACTTCTTCACAGTTGATTAGAAATCGCCTACTTCAAAAACAAGATAGCGTCGTGGCCGATGGTAAAATATGTTCCCATGAAAGTTTGCCCGACGATTAGAACCTAAGTGTGCTCTGTCCAATACACAAAAGAGTGAACCTCACAGTCTACGCCAATTACCGAAACCACAATTGAAAAATAAAGCCCTCTCTTGTCGAACGAAAACCAAACTCTACAAGTCACTCATTATTCCCGTTCTGCCGCAAATTGCAGAAGCGTGGATAATGATGATATCTAATGTTATCGGTGTCGGCCCCTGAAATTTTCTAGCGAAAAGTTTTGACAAAGTTTGGTTCGGTAATATTGAAATGGCGATAGAATTTTACGATTGATGTGCCGAAGAAGCCGAATTTTCTTTCCTTTAAATGGCCATTGCAGCACTTGTAACAAAGATCGACGCATTTCTGCATTTGTCGCGTCCAACGCAATATTTGGACAACGGATGTCAGCCTTTAGTCTTAAGACGACCTCAAACAGCAGGCCAGCAACACTTTTCCAATTAAGGTACCGGACATTCCTGGTGCATGTCTTCAAATCGTGGGTATTGATATTATTGTATTCCAGCAAATGAAGAGAATTAGAATTCATCCTAAAGTTTACTAATTTATGCTAGAAATACATTTGGGGAAGTTGACATTCCCTGCCAAGGGGCGACTCCATTTAGAAAAATTAATTTTGAATGTTGGTCGCACTAAGTCATGAGCATTGGCCTTCCATTTGGCAGTACGCTGGACTGTAGGTCCCTCCATTTGATAGAAAAAAAAAACCAAGACGTTGGAGGATAAGCTGAGATCGGTCGAAAATAACATCAGCGGTTGCAAAGCGCCAGTTACATGAAACCCTAATTAAGTAAGTACTCTGCTCTAATAGGAATAACTTTAATTTACATACAGAAAAATAAACTTCCGGTCATTTTAATAATGCACATTGACAATTTAGAATATTATTTACATTTCTCATTAAACTTTTTCGCTCCTTTTAACACGCAATGCAATAAATGAACAAGACATACATAACTATGTATGAAGATATATTTACATATATATTTGTACACAGCTGCGGCAATTCAACAGATAGGATACTTCGTACGTACGAGTATGCATGTATATATGTATGTGCTCACCTAATACATGCACAAGCTACGCATAAAGTAACGCCAGTTTGTACGTATACGAACACGCAGTGATACATATGTATGTATATAGCAAGACTATGTATGCAGACGATGAATAATATGTATGTATGGCTGTGTGAGTTTTTGCAAATCACGTCCTGACGTCCGTAAGCACACGTAAATGTGATAGCCGTGCGTGAAAATATTATACGAGTAAATACTATGTAACGAGAAATGAATGTACATATGTATGTACATATGTATACAGGCACACATCGACAAAATGCGATGTGTGCAGGTATACATATGTGTATGTACATACATACATACATATGTATATTCTAATAGATCTGCATGTGCATATATGTAAATGTATGTATGTGTAAAATTTTCTTTCCATCTAACTTGATTTACAAACTGGAGTACGAAAATACAATAATATACATATACATATATCTGTATAATAATTTAAAGGGTAATTTTAGTAGATGTTTTGCATACATTTAGGCGTAATAGCGGGTTGCCTGCCACTATAAATAGTCAAAATGATAATTTTAGTGTCACAAGAGTAGTATATATGTACATACATATAATGTTGTTGTTGTTGTAAAATATTCCCCACAGTACTTGTCCTTGGCCGGATAAAAATCCGGATTTTTCCGGTATAAAGACCCGACTGTCGCGGGAACTCTTATATTTTAGTCGCCTCTTACGACAGGTGTGCCTTGCCGCTGGTAATATATATATATATATGCAACTTACTTTCTTTTTAAAAAAAATTATTTCTATTACTATATTTTATTTTTTGATAAACGCAAAAATAATTTGATTCCACATCTATGCAAAAAAAAATTAAAAAAAAATAATTCTCATTTACATGTAATGGAAAAACCTTGTTAAAAATCCTATATACACACATTTATGTGCATTCATACGAGCAGATGTATGTTTTAATTATGAGCTTTTTCTCACCTACAATACATACACACATATACATCAGCAAGTGGTCACTGAAGCCACGACGATATTATTAACAGCGGAAAATCACATCAAGTTAATATTAAATCAATCAATATACTCAAGTTACACACACACACATATATATATATATATATATATACACGCACGCACACAAACACTTGAATAAGTTAATACTTAAAGCACTAAATTACTAATTATTTAGTATCGCAAATGCATATTGTATGTGTTGTATGTATATAGTTTATAATATTTACCTAAATTTTGTCTACGCCATTAAATATCACGATTAAATATGCTATTTTTCTTAATTTTTCCTCATCTTTTCGACGATTTAGATATGTTGTTGCACTGTTTTTCCCTGCACTACATTACTCAAGTCTAAGCAATCAAAATTAAATATTATTTTCTTGAAAGACAAAAATATAAACACTAAATATTGACTTGATTCAAACCCTTTTATTGCGTCTTTACCACTTTCACTCACTGTACGGGCGCTCTTTAAAGCCACACACCAAATATGCCAAACACTTTTACTTTTATTTGTCAACAAATAACATGTTGTTTTATTGTAAAAATAGAAAAAATTCAATACTTAATTAAATATTAATTCCTTAGCACTGTTGTGATTTAGCTTAAACACAATGCAAATAATAGCAGATTTGCCACTTTGAAGCGTAATTAAAATATACAGAGACAAAACAATAATTTTTATGCGCTTTCTAAATATTTTTGCTTGTATATTTTTAATTTTCCATGAACAAAATAGAGAACACAGCCATTTGCCGCGAAGGACTTGCTCTTTCTGAACATATGAAATGCGAACCTCCTGTACGCGCATTGAATTTACAGTAAATCTGCAAAATTTCTACAGCTTTCATCGCCTTTTTGCTCTTTTTGGTAAAATTAAGAAAGTTTTGTTGTGCGAGTAAAAGCGCTTTTAATGTTAAGAGTTAAGCGAGGAAGCTGAACTTTTTGAGGTGGTATATGCATTGCCACATTGATTCATTCCAGTCTCTCTCTCTCTCTCTCTCTCGCCGTGCGCATAATATTTACACCCCCTCATCAACCGTGCATAGAACGCAGATTTCGAATTTCCAGTGGTGGTCAGTGGAGAACATATGTATAGGGCTGCAGAACCTGTGCAAAGAGTATTCCAATGGCAACATTTAAGCGCAATTCAGCCATGCTCACATACATTTACATATGTTAATACAATAAATGTTAACAAAGAACTAAATTAAGAAAACATTAACTAAATAAATAATAAATTGATATTTATATTAAAAAGAAATTAAATTAACTAATATTTTTTTCGGTATCCAAAGAAATTGAAAAGATTTAAGAAGCTGGAGTCTACCAATTCGTTTACACTACATCCATCATATCAATAAAATTAACAAAAAAAAAAAAATTTTCTAAAACAAACATTATGTTAACTATTAATTATAAAAAGTACAAAAGAACTTATTTAGGGAAAATTTGTATTAAAATGGCTTTACATTAGCGTTTAACTTTAATTCAATTTATATACGCGTGTTGAGATTACTTCGTTTATTTCTTTTTAATACGCAAGTCGACAGCTTCATCACCTTCAAATTCAAAGTCTTCAGGTGTTTCATTGAAGCCCAAATGATCGCCATTGAAGCTATATATATATATAAAATAAAATTCTTTTTATTACCAACATTTTAATAAATTATTTTAAGGTATACCTTAATATGAGATCCTCAGCAGGCATTTTCAACTCTTCAGCGCATTTTATATATAAAATCTTTAATTTATCAGTTTTGTTCAATTCGACTTTTAGTGGTCTCTTTGGCCAGAGGTCCGATTGAATTTTTAGCATGATTATATTAGCATTACGCTTCTTTCTGCGCGCGCCCATATCGAAGTCATCAGATAAAGCACGCCCACCTACGCAAAATTAAACGAAAGACATTTAATAAGGATCAAGAGGCAGTTGTACAAACGTGGAGAATTGTACTTACTAATAAACTCATAAACCTTATAATTTATACTTGCTGGCGTATCACCAGCTGATATTATACGGTTTTCTATATTAAAGACTAAATTGTCGATAGGTTCTTGTTCACGGTCTGCTATTATAATAAATATATCTTGAAATTTCTGATGTTTACGTAGTTTAAAAATTTCTGGGTTTCCACCATCCCATTTGATTTTCACTGAAACTTCTGGATTATCCTCATCAAATGAGCATTCAAGTGTATCAACAAACGAACTGCTTGGTGTTCCTGGGCTTCTTATTTCTACGCTATTACTAGATTTGCTATCTTCTGCATCAGAATCAACTGTAACCTGTAAGGAAAATACTTTTTAAAACTTATTTGTTAGATATTTGTTTGACAACTTACAACACCCTCAATTCGTGGCATTGGACTGGACACCAAATCCACATAGGCAACGTTAGTGGAACGCGCAGCAATTTCAGCAAAATAGTCTCGTCGCGCTCGCATTACATTGCGTGTTGTCTGAAAATAAAAATTTACTTTTTGTAGCTCATTACAATATTTAGTGCATGTACAACTCACCTGCCCTCTCATCGTTTCAGCAAATAAGCCGAGAGATTCTGTTACCGCCATCGTAGCATCAACGTTTTCAACTATATTTGAATTGGCTTCTCCTCCTCTTCCTCCTCCGCGCCCTCTTCCTGCTCTACTGCGCCCTCTTCTACCTCTTACCGGTGCTACATTATCCACTGCGCTCGACGCTAAAGAAGTTGTGGTTTGCGCATCTGTCGGCGGTCCAGCAGCACTGCTCCTTGTTCTGCGTCTGCTAGCGGTACCAGGAGCATTGATCGATTGTGATGATGCTACTGGTGGATTTAAGACTTCCATCTGTGGTGCATTCGATTTAGACTTTTTTGCAGGAGAGGCCTCTTTTAGTATCAAAAACCCTTTGGTAGAAGGTGGAGGTTTAGTTTTTTTGGCACGACCTTTTCCCTTCATTTGGAATGATGGCGGAAGCATATCATCTTCATCTGAACTCACAGAGTTTAACAAATCCGTTTGCTTTGAATTAAGCGCCTGCAAAAATTTGGCTTTTTCTTCTAAAAACAGAATAATGTCAACAGCGACCATTTTTTTAACAGTTTATTACTATATTACCATTGTCATCGTTGTACAAATCAGCAAACACATCAAATTCCTGGGACATTATTTATAATATCTTCTTAAGGAATTACTTTCGAAGACTTGATTAATGTATTGAAATTATGAGGCGCCAATTTGACATTTAAGATAGTGATGTATGTTATATATGCGAAATAACTACATATCCACTCGGTACAAATATAACCGAATATATGCAGCCTAAAATTAAAGAACGTATATGAATACGAAGCGACAAGACTCAAACAGTCTTTGTGTAAATACGGTACAAAGAACGTATATGAACGTATGTACGTTCTTTCACATGGGAAATTCACTGAAGGCGAAATGGCGCGAGCATAAATTATTTGTTCTTCTTTTCGTTTCAAAAAATTACACAAACAAAATGCATAAAGAATGTTGCTATAGCACAACATTTATGCCAATCCATGTTTTGTCATTTAGAGCACGTATGACACAAACAAATTACCTTAAGAACATAAAGTGATTTTAACTTTTGTCACTGTTTGAGATTTCAATTGCACAACAACATTTTGAGGTTTCAGTCAAAGAACGTATATGAACGTATACGTTCTTTGAATCTACCTTCTACGAATTCGCTTTAGACTATAAGTTGGTACTGTTCATAAGTGTGGTAGCACTTCTCTGAAAAAATTACTCACTGAACATCTTCATACAACGTCAATGGTTGTCAGACGAATTATCTTCATTCGTTTTTTTGACATTACTGGCAAAGATTTCACGTATTTTCGTTGCGTACTCTAAAAAAAAATTATAATTTTAATATGTTGTACAGTGCTTTCGTCATAATTTCTTCATAGAAATTTTCAAGGAATCTATAGTCTATTCTTATAGCCTATTAGTTCTTTTTGCAAAGACTTTTTAGTGCTAAATGTTAAAATACTATATCAGATGATTTGTGAGCCGTGTGAAATTTGTATGTTAAAAAATTGGGGCTGTTCGTTAACTGAAACAAAAGCAGATAATTAGAGTAATTTTTACATACTTAGCCAGGAAAACAGAAATTTATCAGAAAAAAAAACCAAGTGCGTAAATTATATATTTTGAAAGTTGGACGACACAACTTTGATATGTCTTCGTCTATATTGAATATTATTCAACATTACCAAAAGAGTATTGAGCATTCCCAGCACGATGAAACCAGAGTAAGTATAAAAGTAATCATGGCCAAATGTGTCTACTTTTACGGGAACACTAAACAAAGCAAAGAAATCTGCACTGCTGAAGTGAGATGCAATGCAGAATAGCTCAAGTGATTGTTTCGTTTTAGAGTTATAAAATGTATATAGTAGATACATATGCATACATAAACATATGCGCAAGATAATGTGTATTTACATTTATAAGACACGTCTGTTTCTATATGCATAAACTTGTACATCCACAATATTTATTGATATAACTTTTGCTAAAATTGCTTATAATTTCCTTAAATTGAAAATGCTTCGCTTAGATGTAATATTGGGCGATATAGAACTCAATTTAAAGATTTTATTGAAGGTGCATGCTGCAACAATAAGTGTATGTATGCAACTGGCTGACAGGTGATCCTTTTACTGAGATTACCTTTACCTTTTTTTTATGTTTGTTTCTAAATGCTATTTTGTCATTATAATATGCTTACGTCCCACTTGTATTTTCAGCTTATGCATTGTATCAATAAGTTGTACAACTTACCGGTAAAAGTAGAGCATTTGCAACAGACTGGCGTTGGAAAAACAGTAAATTCGCTACGGAAATTTAATGGGGAGATTGGTGTGGCTGCAAAAGCTTTAGTCACCAAGTGGAAAGCTATGGTCGCCGCAGAAGAGGAACCCGCAGATGCCGACAGTTGTCAAGGTAACGAAGATGATGATATGAACAATGGAAACGGGCATAGCTCAAGCGATGATGATCACTACAATCATAATCATAGCGAAAGCAAAAGAACAGCGCATGAACATGTTTCTAAAATTTCATCTAAAAAAGGCGCGTCAAACGATCGAGACTCAAAGTATAGAGATAAATCAAAAGCAGAACACAAAACTAAATCGAGCAACGAGGAAAAATCACATAAAAGTTCATCAAGACATAATAAACGGCAGGAACCAGAGGAAAAAGAAATGTCCTCTACAAAGAAAGTCAAATCTGAACGAATTAATGAGAACAAAAAATCTGAAACTGATCAACGGAAGTCAACAGAAGAGAAATCGAGCCGTCATGGCGAAAGTAGTGAGAAACAAAACTCAAGTAAGGATGCAAAAACTACCTCGCCATTTGCGTCGAATCATCACAAAAGTAGTGGTAGTTCAAGAGAGAAAAGAGAAAATCATAAGGGTGAAAAACGAAGTGAACACTCTAGCTCATCTAAGCATCAATCAAAGTTAGAAAAAACAAACAAACACGATGAGAGCGGAAAGCATAGATCGCCCAAGGAGAAGGAGAAGCCCGATCGATCAAAAGAGGTAGGTATATGAGAAATGAATATATGAAATGGAAGTAACAAATACATTTCCTTTGATGTCGCCTATGTAAGGGCAACAGAAAATACTGTTCTCTTTATTTGTTTGACATATGTACATATATGTAAATATACATACATATATAAGTTTTACCAATTATAAATGTAAATTGGGTACATACCATGGTTTAACTCTTTAAGATAAATCTATCGATACTTAATTTTAATAATTTCTTACATTCTATATTTTTATAACAGAGCAAACAAGATAAAATTAGCACTTCATCGAAAGATACCTCACACCGCGAAAAACATCACAAATCTTCCACATCACATTCATCGAGCTCTGCTGGCAAGCCCGTAACGTGTAAAAGCGAACAATCCTCTTCGTCGTCATCGCATAAGAAATCAGAAAGCAGCAGCACCAGCACCAGCAGAAAACGCCAATTGGATGATGATTCGAATGATGCGGCCCAGCCAAAAGCAAAGCTAACGAAAACTCCAAAAACGACAAAGGTAAAATCGATTTCTAATGATGAAGAAGATGATGTTGAGCCCGACAATGGCATCGATTCATCAATGGGAGCGAATTTCGCCGATGTCTTGGGTATGCTTAATATGCCGACGAAAAAAGCAAAAAAAAATTTAAATAACAACAAATCGCCCACTGTCAATACGCCGCGTAGCAGTGGCAATGAAAAACCCAGCACCAGCAGTAATTCCATTAAAAATACTATAAATGAATATAAGCCAAGTACGACCTCCTCATCATCAAATTCAACAAAACCAAAAGATGCGGTAAGTTGCATAGGCTGAATCTACCTTAAACAATAAATACATTTTTATTTATTCACCTATCATTTTGTTATGTAGAAACCAGAGCTTTTATCAGCTTCAGCGAAGTTGGCACCTCTTGATCCCAGCATTGCACTAGAACTGCCAACGATTTCAGCCAATTATAGACCGCTGCCACAGAATAAGACTGTAATGGATTGTATTTATCGAAATAGTGGAGCGGTACTTCCCACACCCAAACCAGTACGTATACTCACAGATGATGAAGCCATAAGTCACGGTATTTCTTCAAAGCAAATGCGGTAAGTGTATATAATTGATTGGCTCGAATATATAAAACTAATTAAAAAATGTTACTTCTTTGTATTCAAAATTAGAACCAAAATCTATTCAGGTGTTAGGAGTGGACAATTGTTTCAAGTGCCAGCACTATTTGACTTATGTACACGAGTTTTGCAGAAGAATATCGATGGTTAGAATAGTGTTGATCAGTGATATAAAATATATATTAATACCTCGTTTTTTACAGCACTTGAATATACAGGAGGCGTGCCATTTGATGTGCTGCGGCCGGTATTGGAACGCGCTACTCCACATCAACTACTCATTTTCGAAGAATACAATCCGTATTTGATGGATGATAGCGATTGTTTGTGGCAAATACATGTTCAGCGAAATTATCGTTCGAATAAACGCTTAGAAATGGAAACCTGGCGTGAGATGTTCTTGGTATGCTTTTAAAGCAGTAAAATTTCCTTTGAACACCGTATTAATTAACCATTTTCTTAGCGTTGCGAGGACGAAAAAGAGCAAAAATTGAACAGCCTAACGGCGACCATAAAACAGTCGCAGAAAATAATTGCTGCACCAGTACGAAAGACACAAATGGCATTTGTTGATGCATTGGTTAAGCCACCACGTAATGTGTTGCGTAAGCAGGAACAATATGGCACGAAAGGAAAGCTTGTTGCCACGCCAGCTGCACGAGTTGCAGCGCTCTCTAGTGTCACACCGAATGCAGGCAAAGTGGGAGATGCGCGCTTGCGCGTGGCGGCAAGCGTACGCGATGCTGCACAAGTTTGTAAGTAATAAATGCGAGATCATTGCATAGTAGCACAGCGTATTTCAAATAATGCAATTTTTCTTCACAGCTCATGCGCCTATACGCGCGAAGAAGGCACCACTCATGGCTAAAACACTACAGTTTATGCGTGGACGTCATAAGCGTTAAATTAGCACAGGGTGTTGTTGATCTTGTGTTCGTAAACTCATTGTTTCATAAGATAAGCATATTATTATGACATTCACTGTTTATTTACGCTGTAATAAAATTATCGTGTAACTTTACGATATGACCTATTACAGACATAAAGTAGTTGCAAACTCCTTGTGAGTAATAAGATAACGCAACACTCTATTTAATAATAGAAATTGTGTATAATCATTTAAGGACAAATTAGCGTTGCATCACACATACAAACACTCAAATATATATTTATATTAGGATATATTGTTTTCGAAAAATGATTAAATAATTCAAAAAGTTGCAGTTGCTTAATAGATCTTTTAAATTATGTACTGAAATATGAATTGTTTTAAATCATTTCTTTATATTTATATGTAAATGTAACCGGCATGCATACGTAAACACATACATAGATACATGCGCTAAGATGTGTAATGCACACATTAGGGCTGTGCTCATTGTTGAAAAAATATTTAAAATCATCTTAAAATTTAATTAGCTCATCCAAAGGTGTATAGTTAAAGTAAATAATTTATGAATAAATCTAAAATATAGAAACAAAAAAAAGTAATTAATGTAGTACGGACAGTTACGATTTTACAACCAGCCAAGCAATGTCTGTTTAATTGTTGTTGTAACCGCAAAAATATACCTCTTAAGTAATTTTTGGGGAATGCTATGGGAGTGGCAGTTCTTGGCCGGTTAAAAAATCCGGGCCGTTTCGGTAAAAAGACCCGACTGTCGTGGGAGCTATTGGATTTTATTCGCTTCTTGCTACAGGCATGCTGTGAATGACGTGCTCAGCGTAAAACCACCACCCATTACAGACAGTTCGAGCTGTCTGCGGGTTAGGGGCTCAAGAATTTACCCGCGGTAAGGCATGCCTGTCGTAAGAGGCGACTAAAATCCAATAGTTCCCGCGACAGTCGGGTCTTTATACCGGAACGACCCGGATTTTTATCCGGCCAAGGACTGTCACTCCCGCGATATTCCCCAAAAAGTACTTTGGGGAATAATTTTGCGGTTACAACAACAACAACAACAGTTCGAGCTGTCTCGAGAGACCCGCGTGACCTTAGCATAACTACTGGATACTGTAGCAGGTTAAACTCTTATTTATCCAGGCTCGACGCCAGCATATCCAACGTATGCCCTGCATGTGGAGTCTCCGCATGACGCTAACCACCTTTTCGCATGCCCCCTTAAACCGACTCATCTAAATCTCTCCCTCTCCCTTTGGTCCAATCCCGTCGAAGCAGCTCGTTTCCTGGACCTCCCACTAGATGACCTCGGCGACTTAGATTAATCAAACCTGTACCAAAGCGGGGTTAGCGACCCGCTACATAAACAACAACAACAACAGGCATGCCGTACCGCGGGTAAATTCTCGAACCCCTAACCCGCAAGGGGCTTAGTAGTTTTAGTCAACAAAATCAACGTAAAACATCGGCTTCGTTACTGTTATTTTTAATGAATGAATTTTAATTTGTAATTTTTATTTATCATTGAGTAGTTTAACCAAATAATCGGTTAGTGCTATGCAAATAAATATCTCACAATTATGTAACTCTTGACGTACATATGTAACATCATAATTGATTTATTTAGATTTCTTTTATTTTAGTCAGATCTTAATAATTTAGTATTTTGATATAAACTAAACATGCTCTAATTATATTGAGAAGCTTAAGTTCAAGCACTTCTCCATCTTAATTTCTAGCGTATCTAAATATATTTTTTTGTTCTTGCATTAGTAATTCCTAAACGTCTAACCGTTACATTGTATAAATTCTAAATAATAATAAACAATTAACAGCCAATAGCACAAACGACTTCATCCTGCCGGCTAAATGCCACTTTCACTAAACGCTGACAATTGCTACTTAGCGCCATTACTTTATTCAAGGTAGTCGATGAGGAGGAGGAGGAAGATGAGGAGTTTCCCATGCTGCTATTACCACTGGTGTCGCTAATGATATAAATAAAATATATTAATTTTCTGCGGGAGAATATTTCATTAGCAAGCGATCACTTACTTAATGGGTGATAACTTCTTTACATCCCAAACACGTAGACTACCATCGCGACACGCCGATGCCAAATGTCGACCACCTTTACTCCATGCCAAATTGCTTACGGCAGCTGTGTGGTCTTTCAGTTCATTCATTTGTGCGCCAGCGGCCAAATCAAAAATTCGAATTTTAGACTCCTCACCACCAGCTGCCAACATCTTGCCATCCGGACTGAATGCAATGTTTGTTACGGGCTGTTTGCATTCCGAGAAGACACGCATCAGCTTACCGCTTGTAACGCACCATAAGCGCACGGAAAGATCAGCTGATCCGGTAGCCATATAATTTCCATTTGGATGGAAGGCAATACACTAAAAAACAAGAATGAAGAGTATATTTTACAGTAACCATAGATCGTAAGGTATTCAGAGGCGGACTAAAACCTAGGTATCTCCACCATGCAATAAATGTCACGATTCACCCAAAACACCCAAAAAATTTTGAATCTTATGTAAAAATATTCTTAATCGTCTGCTACTAACCTCTACATCTTGCGTGTGACCAGCAAAAGTTATTAATGGAAAATCTCGTTCTAGTGACCACAAGCGTGCTGTGAGATCCTTAGATCCGGTGGCAATATACATACCCACCGGACTCTCGTCCAGACACCAAACTGGGTAGCGATGCCCGCGGTAGATATACGCACAGCTATAGCTTTCCGCACGCCAACTACGAATGGTGCTATCTTTAGATGTACTATAAACGAGCGGGTAATGTTTAGAGAAGCGTACGTCTGTAACACCAGCACCATGACCACGCAACTCAATGCCACCATATTCATTACTAAATTTCACACAAGTAATAACATTATTTGAATAGTAAATTGATATCAGTAACGTAACAATACTTACAATGAATTACTTCCGTATTTGCCAGCTTCGAATTTTTTTTTCCGTCTATTATTGCCATTGCAATTTTTTTCATGTTCCCTTACATCAAATTCAATTTGATCCTCAGTCTCGTTTTCCATGGCACCATAATTATTTATCTCCCACCGACAAATTGTGTCTGCACAGCGCGCATATAAATTTTTGCCGCGAAAAGTTTGTTGATTTAGCTGCCACAATTGTACAATTGAATTGTTAAAACCAGCCACAAGATGGCATTCATCGGAATCGACATCGGCACAGGAAAGGCTATGAGTGTAAAGTGTAATGAAAATAAAAATAATATGTATATTTTTAAAATTAACTATGTACCCTCTGCTGCGGTCTGTGAGCTTTATAATATAAGGATGTTGTGTATGACTTTTTAGAATTTGTTCCCTGCAGGTTCGTAAATTTTGTAAGCTGTCCGCCACTTGTTGTATACGCAAGTTTCTTATTTCATCCAAATTGTCTTCCGATTTTTCAGACTTTATCATAAGCTCTTCAGGTGGTTCTTTGGCTGCACGCTTTGTACTCGAGCGGTCAGGTTGCACACTGACTTTTGGTTTCAATTCTGTAAACTCATCTTTATTTTCTTCGTCATCTTCAGGCGACTCGAAACCCAAGAGGATATCTTCTTCGCTCCATTTTTGCACTTCATTGTCAACAACATGCAAATGTATCCATGAGTACAAGAGATTGAGTATTAGCACATGCCCACGCTTTTCCAAATATGTGCGTAACTTCTCCACAACTGCTTCAGTAGTATGTATTTCATATTTGGACGAACGAAATTGAACAATATCTGGATCACTTTCGGCTGTCTCCAGTTTTGTGCATGCGGAAAGTGTCTGTATAAGTTTTGTAAAATATAGAAGTTCTGGGTCTGCGGATGTATCATTTGTTAGAGTGGCAAAACGTATGCTGGTGTGAGGTGTTGTAGCGTGTGGTTGATCGGCATGTGTGTCATTAGCCACTGAGCAGCCATTTATTTTTGTTGGTAAAGGAGCTTCATATGTTTCTACGGGCGATACTAGTTGTGAATACTTTTTTAACAATTCAAGGGCAGCTTTTTGTTCGCGCGCTTTCATCAGTTCTACATAGAGATGACAAAGCATTGGTGCATACAGACGACGCAACTCCAAACGTATGAAATCGCTTTGTGACTCAACAAACTGTGAGAAACTGAAAATAATTCAAAACAAATGAAATTTATAGGAAAAAAGAAAGTATAAAAAAGTAAAACCCAACTAACCGGCCGAACTGCTGGTCAACAATGTGGTGATTATTCGTGATGCAGAGTACATTGGAGAAGCCGAATGAGTTTCCGCTTTGCAAGTCTAGATCCAACATCTTTTGCACCATAAATTGTCGTTTGTTTTGCAGGAGTAGAAAGTCCGACTTACGAAACTTTTCATTACCCTGAAAGGATAAGCGGATTAGTACTAGTGTTATTGTCATATTGTTTTAGTTCCGAAATATATACCACAAAGCTTTTCTTCTTCAAGTAGTAACCCAATGATGAACGAAATAAATCATTTTTCGATTTTTTCACTTTATTTCCACTACTTTTTTCACCCATTTCAGGCATTACACCTAATTTTTTTAAATAAATGCAGAAAATGCAATTAAGACAACAATGAAAGGTATATAAAAGAAAATGTCAGATTTCATGCCATCGTTACCAGTTGTAGCGAAAAGGGTCGTTCAATGAAAGCAAACATGCCGAGAAAATAACAGGATAAAATCATAAACTAAATGATATGAAGTATTTCGACAATTTTAACATCTACGACTCATGAGTGACTCTAGACTCTGGTTTCTGTACAAAAAAATGACATTTCAAAATATCTCTTACTGCGAAACTACTAGGATTTCCTTCAATTACAGGTTAGTGTTTTGTCAAGACAGTTTTAGCAAAGAACGTATATTAATATACGTTCTTTGGTTTTAGATTCTTTAGCAAAAGTCGATTCAACCCTGCTAAAACAGCTGGTTTTGATATCTCCTTCTTATTGACCAGAGAATGTAAACACAACAATTATATTTACGTTCTCTGTATTGACATTTCAAGAGCAAAGCGAAAATGAAGAATGAATTCATTGTTTTGTTTACATCAAAATGAACTCGTTGAAAATGTTGGGTCGCTACAATGAGCATAGTAAAGCTGATAGGGCAGTCTTTACGAATAATTTTATTATATATTTCTGACTTTTGCCTACAATTTATAAATGTATTTTTGGCGGTTCAAGTGGTTATCAGTGCATACAAGGTGAAACCTAAGCCAGGGTATTTTTGAACGTGTCTTGTAAGATTTATATGTATATAATTTAAATAATAAGATGTTTTTTGATGCCTTGGCGGAGAACAACTATCACTTTAATTTTTTAACATAAAGAAAGCTCCTTAAAAATTTCAGCCGACGTTGGGAGACAACTTATAACAAATATATAGGTCAATCCATTTTTTGGATATAACATCGTTCAAGATATTCTCCAACACTCATAATAGGGCATGTCTGTGTCTTAGATGACCATCATTTCTCAACAATTCGCTTTACTTGGCTGTTCTTGGCCGTGACAGCGATTCAGCGAATTCGCATCAGTTTCATTTGACAATCGCAGAGTGAAAGTTGTGTGAAATTTGTGTGAAATTTTTAGCTGTTTGTTTATTTACAACAGTTTTAGCAAAACTAAGTGATAATTAATTAAAAATATTCCATTATAATATACATCATAATAACGGCAATTTTTGATACCAGTTAGAAGTACGTTTTTGCGAAATGTCTACAACAAAGTTTGTTAATGAATTTTGTGAAATAATCGACTCGTATGGTGGCCGAGATAAGGTGAGCGAACCCTAATTGATATTCTTTAATATTATATATTGTTACTTTTCCTATTAAATAAAGTATGTCAATACTATAATATTGGATATTAAAAATGCCACGCATTGAAGTGTTGGCACGAAGAACTAAACTTGTATTAACCGGCACACCTGTAGAAAACATCCGGAACTTATCTAGTTGGCCTAAACAACAGGTTTCTATCATACCATTCGGGACTCAACCGAAATGAAAGTGAAACGTGTGAATGTACATACATATGTATGTAGATTATTTGTAGCTCTATATAAACATGCGTACATACGTATATTAAATGCTTCATGTCGCATATTTAAGAAAATTAAATAATGGACCTTGTATTCATTCACTGGTCAAGCCACTTTGCGTCAAATGTGATTTCAAATTAACATAATTTTATGTTAAAAATGTATATAATTCAAAATAAGATTATTATGCATGTAGCACGCATAAAACAATATGCATACAGTTGGTTCATATAAGCAGGTTTTTACTATAATTAATCCATATTGGCGCCGAAATTATAAAAGACAAGTATTTTTCCAATCGTTTTTATCTTTTGTAATAATATAATATTATATCATGGAATTGTGCTGGAGAGTACGTCTGTATATATGTATGCAGGTGCTATAGCTTCTTTACAAACGATTGATTGTTGACATACATACATATGTACATACAAGTACACTTTATTGATGACGAGAAAGTGTAATTTATTGGCAATTGAATTTTTTAAGCTAAAATTATCTTATGAACATAGCATATCGCCATATAGTGCATAGTTGTACATATACCTTTTTATATACATAAATATGTACTTCCGTTAGTAAAAAATATATACTACTCGTATATACATATAATAATAATAATGAATTTCACGCAATCAGTATGTAGATTTTTCAATTACATCCCTCGCTCTTTAAGGCGGGCGAAGAGAATTTTTTTGAAAAGTATATTTTCTTTATCTCTAGCTCTTAATAATTTTCTTATCTAATATGTGTCGGTGAAGTTATCGAAAAATCACGTGAGCTACGTGTAAATCTAGACCAGTGATATTGCACGGTAAATATATGTATGTATGCGCGTGGCAAATTTTAATTAATCCATCATTTTTGAGTACATTTGGGTATGTAATTTGCTAAATCAAGTTGTTGTATATTTATTGATTTAACGGCATTATAAATAAATGGTTCTAGAGGGAGAGTAGGTTAGGATGAGTAGGTAGATGTCTCGTAAGCAGAGAGTTTAGTGTCATGCGGGGTCTTATTATATGCAGGAAATACGTTGGGTATACCGAAGTCAAGTCTGTATAAGGAGCAATTAAGTCGACTTCAATATTCAGATCTTAATTGTGTCAATATTAAATGGAAGAGATTTTATGATAATTTTGACGGTGAATAGCGTTTCAAGTCTGTCGGTACGCCATCCTAATCACTAGTAGCTCCTAGTAGCTCAGGTGACATCAGGCGGTTTCTCCTCACGCTCCTGAGCGTGGTTTTCTGACATGCTTGTAACTCGCTGGTCCCTGGCTTCCAAATCGCCGCAGTGTCACTTACTGCCGGCCAGTCAATTGCCTCGTACTTTGCGAACACAGTTTCTTTGTTCTTTCGAACAGAAGCTGTTGGCTAACGATTTGAGGATTTCCGCCAATTGCAGTCATATGTGACTCCCAGTAACCTTGGTTTGTTAGTTATCGGACTTTTCGTCATCGTCTTTAACATGAGGTGGTCCAGCTGATGAGAAGGGTACTTTCAAAAATAACTTATCAATATCCTGGCCGACGACAATATGGAACAATCATCGGCGTATGAGATCAATGAAACGCCCTCTGATGGAGGTGGAAGCTTTGAGATGAAAAAATTAACGTAAGTGTGAAGAGGACACCACCACTTGCTTGAAGGTCGGCCTTGAAACTCTACCGATGAATGTAAACCACGGTAGCCCATTTTCCACCTCTTACACACCGGTGGTAATGAGGTATCCTCATTGATAGTAGCAACGCTTTTGTCAGATCCAGTTCTACGAGGACGATTCTAGCACATGGTCTGTATTGGTTAAGGACATGGACTGTTTGGATGTTTTTGGCGTTAAATGCGGCTATGGTACTGTGTGCTGCTGAGCTTGTTGTGTGACGGGCGCCTGAATTGTCTTCACTCTGGGGAAAGCAGAGATTTCGGCCGATAAGATAATCCCTTGTTGGCTGGTTTTCCCAGTTGAATACCTTGGTGAGATAGTTTGCTCCTACTGGTGCCAGATGTCCAGCATCAGGATGCTTTTTTCGTCGCAGCGGATGGGTTTCAAATTCTTTTGATAATCGGATTCAAATATAAATACCAATAAATTAAGGCAGTATAGTCTGGTTTAGAGGCTTCAAAAAATTTATTTTTTTAATCTATTCTAAAATCATCTAAGCAATTATAAGCAAAATTTCAGTTTCTAATTCAATACATTTTAAAACTCGATGCATTTGAAGCGCGATTTCTCTAGTTTTTATTTTTACAGGTCTTAAAAAATAGTACCGGTGATCCAAAAAAAAAAAAAAAATATATATGTCCGATCGATAAAAATCAAAGTTATCTAGCTTCAGTATTAAATTATCTTCTATTTGAACTAAAACAATTATTATTTAAACTATTTGTTAGCAACTTGAAGTAAATTAAAAGAAAGTGAAAATTTTCCTCAAACTTCGAAAAGATTTGGGATTTTCCAACTTCCTCATTATTTTTTTGGTTCATGTAGAAGAGACGCATAAAAATTAAAAAAATATTTTGTTTGACTGTTGCTGCTGCATCGCACGACCTCCATCACCGACACCGTTTCACAAGTTCAGACTGCAGCCACTTCAGAAAACCCATCACAACATTGAAGAATTCTACTATTCTTTGTTACTAAAAATTGGTTTTTAAAGCTTAAATATGGTAGATTATTGCCTGAAAATTTCGTTTACCGCAATAAATTCCTTTCCTTTCAAAAAGATTGCTGAAAAAACGCTTTCCGTTTCCGTTTTCCAAAGGAGACTACTGCCTTGAATTCGATAGGACTTTAGAAAATGATTGATGACGATCGGATTCAATGCCGATTCCGATTGATATTTTTAATGTGTGTACTTACCGACGAAGGCCTCGTTGTCGCTTTGTCAAAAATCACTGTTCTATATCTGAGCACTATTTATATGTATTGTTGAAAATTGATTGATAAATCGATTAATGTTTCCTTAAAATTTAAAGGGGTACTAGAAATTGATTGATGATATTGAAAAAAAAAAAATTTAAAAATGTTAATAATTAAATTTTAAAATAAAAAAAAATTGATATTTTGATTTAACTTTGAATCGATCGATAGCTCCGTCAAGTAAGTAATTTTGACAAAATAGGCAGATTTCATAACGGTAGAAAAAAATACTATAAATATTCCATTGAAGTAGTTTTTAAGGATGGTCTCTAATTTATCTGTTCTATTGGTCTTTTAGTATTTTTTTAAAATACTACTCTTAAAATCGTTACCGGAATAATAGAAGTGAATTTTTTGATAACAGTCGGTAAAGATTCCACCATTTATCATTAATTTATTTTTTGTTTTTGTCAGACGAATTTTTGAAGGAAAATATAAATGTTAAAGCTATAATGTAATGGTAAAAATTACTCTATACATTTTCCCTATTTCTACTACTTTTTAAAAAATAATCGAAACAAGACTGTGAAAAATGTGAGGTGAGTCTGCTGAGCACACCTGGTAAAGATATAACCATGCGGGTACCAAATTTTCGACATTAAGGCCCACTTTCACAGTGTCCGGTTAACTTAACCTTTAGCCGGAGGTTAGCTAACCGGCAAATAGGCTGATGTGACACTTTCGTTTTCACCAAGTTCTGGTTACTTAACTTCTGGTTAGTTTGATCATTGTGAATATTTTAAGGTGAATTCACAAAAACTTCTGCTGTGAAAGCATCAAAAATGCATGAAAGTTGGTATTTATTTTCATTTTTCCTTACTTGGAAAAAAAACTTTTGATGGTTTTTAAATTATATTTACAAAATGTCCTTGCACCTCAGCTATGTTTCCGTCGGCATCCTGCTTCCGCTGGCTCATGCGCTTGCACTTCTACTTCATCCAAATTAGAGTCATTCCTAGTAGTGCTGACCGAAACACTGAATCCAGAGATAGTACTCGAAAGCGGCGTTTCCATACTTCATCTCCTCTTAATGCAATTTCGAGTACGGATTCGAGTTTCATTGTAAAGACGTTCAATAAAATAATGCTGTCATGTTCAGAACCAGGTCACCTGCATATAAAGTTCGTTATTTCCATTTTGCAAGTGCCGTTTTTTTCTTCGAATACTTTTGGCATTTTCTTTTCTAGAAGACTGCAGTCTTACTCGAGTGCAATCTAAACACGCCAACACATTTGGAAACTTCGCTATTCGGGGAAATGTGCGTATTGTGCTGTCAATTTCCTTGCTTTTCGTTGGCATTCTGATGAATAATTTTTCAAGTGCCTCTACAACAAGGGACACTATTTACCACCTGACTTACAGATACGCCACTTTTATTCCGCACAAACCAGTAAAACAAATTAAAAAACTTAAAACCAAAAATTAATATTATAGCTCGAATACCTCCATGAATTTGTTGAAGCCTTAGACTGCAAAATGAATGAATAAAATTCTCGCAATTTAACAAACAGACAGAGGAGTTTGATGTCCACACCACTCCTTATCCTCGTGAAATCGATCTAAATGTTGCAGGTTTAAGAACTTTCAGAAGGGTAACTTTTATAAAACTTACAATGATCATGAAAAGCATTTCTCAATAAAGACCTGCATGAGTGGTGGGATTCAGTATTGTATTTTAGTGATTTTCGGATCGCTAAATTAATAATAATGTCGTGGTCAACTACACGACAAAACGTTAACTAAACGACGATTATTTTAAAGTTGTGATGGCGATCATCGACAAAATATTTATATTTTGTTAAAGTAATGCAAAG